ATCACTTGCAAGAGAAGACTAAAAGTTTTTCAGAAATTGCCTAAAAAATCCTCCCCAAATGGAAAATAAAATCTAATAGGGGTATATCCATCCAGCTACACCAACACTTTTCACTGCAGAAGTTTCCATTTCTTTCCATTTAATGACTCTATCTCAATGCACTGCAGTTCTCTACAGTGACTTTTTTTGATGCTTCAATTAACACCACTCATTAACCAACCACTCAAAGTTATGATGGTGCTGAACAAGTGGTACTTATGACTGGTCTTCAAACTTCTGGTCAGCCTCCCTCCATCATGCAATCACAATTTAGGCTGCTGGCAACTGGCTCACACAACAGTTGCAGTGTCCTGTGGTCACCTGATCCTCATTTGCAACCTTCCTTGCCAGCTTTCTACAAGCAAAGTCAATGGTCATTAAGTCACTCCTGTAAGTCACTACCACTCTCATTGCTTTTTCTCCTGAGGAACCTGCCTATAAAGTATTAGCCAGATATGCACACTTCTGTGTCAGGCAACAGCCCTCCCCCCTTCTGTTGTGCCATGGCAATCACCTGGGTGCCTTGGCAGCAGCCACCCCCCACATGACCATGCTCGCAATGCACCACGCCAGCCACTTAGCCAACTTCTGGCCAGCTTGTGAGTTACTCAGTCTTGTTAGTTCACACCCATGATCTTCATTTAACAACAGCAATAGGGACTATCAGAATCACTAAGCCATGCAGTCATATGATTATGAATGCATTGCTTAGCAATGGAAATTCCAAACCTTATTACTGCTGTTAAATCAGAACTAACTGCAAATTTATTTCTAGGTTCTGGAAAATTTTCTCCCCACCCTGCTCTCTTGCATCTTTAGTTCTATTTTCCAGTTTTGTTTCTTTATTGGACAAGATTTTCAGTTCCTCTAACAATCTTTGGATTAATCCGAAACCCTAGATTAATCTCTATTCTTCTTTATTCAAGAAGTGTCTAAGTTAAACTTTTAAAGGAACTACTTTAGATCCAGAAAAACTCAAAATAATTGAATAATACCACTTTACAATGCCTTGGTAAGGCCACACTTGGAATACTGCATCCAGTTTTGGTCACCATGATGTAAAAAAAACATTGAGACTCTAGAAAGAGTACAGAAAAGAGCAACAAACATGATTAGGGGACTGGAGGCTAAAATATATAAGGAATGGTTGCTGGAATTGGGTATGTCTAGTTTAACGAAGAGAAGGATGAGGGGGGACATGATAGCAGTGTTCCAATATCTCAGGGGCTGCCACAAAGAAGAGGGAGTCAAGCTATTCTCCAAAGTGCCTGAAGGGAGGACAAGAAGCAACGGATGGAAATTAATCAAGGAGAGAAGCAACCTAGAACTAAGGAGAAAATTCCTGAAAGTTAACCAGTATAAAATGTATAAAATTAACCAGTGGAACAACCTGCCTCCAGAAGCGGTGAATGCTCCAACACTGGAAGTTTTTAAGAAGAGACTGGACAGCCATTTGTCCAAAATGGTGTAGGGTTTCTTCTTATTCTTATTATTATTATTATATCTCATTCTTTCTCATAAATTCTTCATGGGTATGTTTTCTTTCATAAGTTATATCAAATACCCCTGTGTAACTGCATGTTCAGTAACTGCAATCTGCAAAATCCTCTCTGTATTAGTATATTAAGTTATTACTGTGAATAATTTATATGGGGTCAGAATGATATAAGCATGAAAATACATACATATTTAAAAGAAGGTACTCTGTAAATTTAAGTCCTTTGAAGTATCCCTTTTCATCTTTTCTCCATATCACAGCATAAATATGAACATCCCACATATCTTATTTTGGGTGGAAGGTAGAAAAGGAATTAAGTATTAAAACACTTTGAAGTGTTTTAAGAATGAGTGATTTAACACAACTGATTCTACAATCATCAATTACTAACAAATTAACAAAGTAAGTTTCTCGCATCACGCCTTTATGTGACAATTTGGGACAATATGACAAACACAAGCTTCCCGGCACTTCCAGGATGAAGTCATTACTCTGCTGTTTCTCACTGGACACATCAAATTATCTTGAACTCTACTGCTATGTGCTTTGCTTCTAAGATAGAACATAAAAGGGCTCATAACAGAAATAGGTTCAATCATTTCTCCTTTATAGAAAGCCATTAAATTCAGTTTTCATATAACAACATTAATGTGCACATATACTACACTCAGTCACAAGCAGTCCTACACCAAGTGAATATACATTCAATTAATGCAGAGTATTGGAATTGACTTGAAGCATTTGGAAAACTATAGATGCTAACAAGCAAGTAGTAGAATGAGAATCAAGGCTAAAAAAAATGTGAGATCCTTAGAGGTCCTTGGGCAATATCACAGATCTTTATTCCAATAAAAACCCAAAATTATGTAAGCTCTTAAATGATAATGCAGTCTCAAAACTATTGTTAGCCTTTAGATAAAGCTGAAAGAAACAGGCTTCAAGATTATATCCTTGTGCTGTGTAATTGATGAATGGTTCCACATTGTATCTTCAGCCATCTCTACTGAATCAAATCATATCAAGTCAATATTTCAATTCAAAGGGGAGTTCATACTCCTTGCTAGGAAAATTCAGTTCATTATCTTCAGTAAAGTATCCAGCAATGTGATCCATTATTCAGAAAGATTTCTAGGGTGACTCTTTTTAATCCCTTTTAGGCAGGTCCAAAGACTACAAAATGTTCAGACAAGATCAACTGGCTCAAATCAGAATCAAGGGTCTGGGAGATGAAAAAGAACATAGTATATCATGGTTAATATATTTTTTACTGTATTCACTGTGTAATTAAAATTCCTGTTTGAGCAAGCCAAAGTTGTAAGTTAAAGTTCATGGTTTTGCAATGCAGTTAGCAAGCTACAGATGGAAATCCATTCATGAAAGTAAGCAAAGAGCATGATTTTAATGTCATGCACCAGATTTACTGCCTTGTTATGGCTTAGTGTGATGTCCAAATGAATTCTTAGACTAATTTGCAACCAGAGATTTGCAACAAAATACTGCAGAAACCCCATTACCCTGTAATTTTCTCTAGCATTTTTATGATCTGCATCTAAAATACAAAATAATACAAAATCACTAAATATAATTTGGTATAAGGTTAAATGTTTGAACCAGCTTGGGATAAAATAATATGAAAAACTTGATATTCACATTCTACAATTCTAATTTAATATCCCCTTCTATGAATATTAATATATTCCATGTTCAATTCTATTTTTAGCTTCTAAAATTGCAAGTTATTTTAAAAACTGCAGCCTTCATTTCTTCTGAGACAAAAACAAGCTAAATGATATGTTGGAAATCCAAAATCAGCTTCCTCGGTTTTTTCAAAATCAGCTGTTGAATATCCTATATTGAACTGACTCTTTGGCCAGAATAAAAAAAATAAAATTTTTCCTTCAAATTTTCCTATGTGGCAGTTTTCCCGATTTTCAGCATTATTTCCCTCATTAGGGGAAACACTGAGAAACATTTGTTCCCTAATAAACAGCAACAACTGAGAGGATTTACATTTAAAAATGGTGCAGTGGGCAAAACATTACTTCCCATCTTTCTCAGTATTATGCTACCGATCCATTTCAGGAATCCTGAAGCTACTTTCCACACAATAAAAAAAAATGATCCAACAATGGAGAGCCACCATCTGATCTTATTGCACCCAGAATTACTGAAGAAACAAGATTAAGGAAAGGGATCTTGTAGAATTTAATAGTTCAGCTACCCTTGTTATTTTGTCCATTATAAGAGTAAAAACTGTATGAATTATGATACCATTTATAAGATCAGCATTTTGTAATTACTGTCATTCCAATTTGAGATCCCTGCTGCGTGGCCCATCATAAAATTGGGCACAGGGCAATTCATTTAGCTGAGGGCCCTGACCCTATAAAACAACTGTCTTAACCTCTTAGCTTTCAGCTAAGCACACTATAAGGGCTGTTTTATTTCTCCCAACCTTAAAACTCTGAGATAGTTAAAATGTTATGTGATCCTGTTAAACAATAAAATTCATTACTTTTAGATTTTTGGTTACAAGTAGTCCTCGATTTATGACCACAACTGGGAGTAAATTTCTTGTTGTACATTATTACGGTCATAAGTCAAAGCACCCATGTGACTGGATTTGATTTTACTTTTTTTGTGGTCATTGTTAGCATCTGTCGCCATAGCTGTTAAGCGAATCCATGGTTGTTGAGCGAATACAGCAATTGTTAAGTGATGGTTGTTAAATCATGAAATACCTGTATGAGCTAAATTGTAAGGACCTGTCCTAAAAGTTAGGAAAACCATCAATAACAGTAATTAGAAATGTTCAGCCTTAACAAGAGAAGACTATTGGCAGTTATGGAACATTCCTCAAATGTCTGAAAAGAGCATCTGACAAAGGTTAAGATTTATTTTCTGCCATTCCAGAACACAGAATAATGGATTTAAATTAAAGGAAAATATTAAGAAATATTTCCCTAATATTGGGAAAAATATTAGTAAGTATGAATATTAGGAAAAAACATAATAAAATAAATAAAATAAAAACAATTTGACAAAATGGAAACAATTAGTCAAAGAGTAGATGAGCTACTTTTCAGTGGTAGTATTAAAACAAAGGGACTGAATTGCTATTTGCCAGGGAATCTTATATTAAGAATTTTCCACAGTGCAAGATTGGATTTAAAGGCATAAATATCCTCTTTCAACTCTGTGGTTCTTTGAGTCTAAAAATGACTTAAATATAATATATATTTAATATATTAAAAATCTGGTCAAAACGCAATGTACAGATATTATACAGTTCTGCTTCTCCAAAAGAAATGAATATGTCTTTAATGCGTTATGCTGAAATTAGCACAGAAGTCATATTTTACACAAATCAGTATTTTGATTTTTCACTTACCTATATTTTGACTATATTTCTTTTTCTTTTTTTAATCATTTGTCTCTGCTACTGGAAAGCAGCCCTTATGACTCTGTCATTAAGTGGCTGTGTTGGTCTAAAATTATCTCCTAAGTTTCCATCGCAACCTTCTAGGAGCTCTGCTCCTTTAATATGAGTCCTCAGTCCTCGAAACTCTTCTATCTAATAAAACAAGGAAATGGACATTTGACTCCCTCAATTAGTAGTTACACTGTAAAAGGGGTGTGTGTGTGTGTGTGTGTGTGTGTGTGTGTGTACTAGTTATTTTTTCTCTCTTTATTTAATATACATCCCACCACTCAACTGTTATGGCATACAAAGCTTTTTAAAAAATATGTAACCAAGAATACATTTAAACAGAATTAAAATTAACTAAAATAAATTAAGTGTATTGGATACTCCCATGCATTAATTCATTTCCCCTCTTCTCACATTAAAATTTATAGTTTCTTACCATCTTTTGGAACATTCTGAAGAAGGCTTTTGAGGTATTATAGACTTTACTATATCAAAGTAATGATCATTACAAACAGAAATTAGATTAAAATAGAAGTGAAAAAATCCAGTATGAACTTGGGAATGTGCCAACATTTCAACACATTTCCATTCCTGTTTTATTATGACATGATTACAAGGCTGAAATGAATCAACAACATCAAAGCCACCTGGCTATTCTAACTGTTGTCGATTCATTTCTTTATTATAAAGCTTTGATAACCTATTCTTGCTTAATTGTAACATGAGCCTTGTATTTCACAAGGAGACAACCCAATTGTTGGAAAACCAGGACAAAATTAACCTTTTAAAAACAGGAAAAATAAAGAAAAGGTTTATGAGAGAGTAGGCAAAACTAACTATTCCAGAGAATACGCTTTTAAAATGAATCATTGGGACAATGTAAGCAAATGATTACAGGGATCGTAGAAAGTGTCATAAACATAGGAGAGAGAAAAAATATTTAGCCAAGCAGGAATTGTCCCACTTCTCACCAAGAATAAATTATAATCAACTGATCTATAAGCAAAAAACAAAGAAGGAAAGATCTGCCCTTATTGTTGATATCTGTAAACAGTCTATGTACTATTGTTAGAAATGATCTTATATAAAACAGATTTCTTTCTGAAAAAAGCAGAACACTGTAAAGTTAATAGTATTGGTGGTGATAGTTGTAGTAGTAGTAGCAGCCACAGAATGAATGAGTGAAGAGGAGAAACAGCAATGAATAAATATATATTGAATATTCTCTTCTGGTGACTGCATGGACAAATGCTTGTCGTCACAACTATCTTCAGCAATATTTTGTAGGTCTTCCAAGACAGCCCTGTAATATCTTTGATCCCATCCATTCATCTTACCTGTTGCCTTTACTACCCTCAATCCTGTTCCATCCTTGTAATTTTTTTTCTAGTCTATTACTTATGTACATCACATGTCCCAAATAGGTCAGGCTTTATTTGATGCAAAATGAACAAGTTCTTCTTGCATCTATGGTACACTTAATAGTTACCTATATATTCATAATTCTCAGCAATATTATTTTCTTATCTTCTTTTTAATGTCCATACATCTCTACTATGAAATCTATTGCTTTAACTATTCTGATCTTTCTGATCACAGTAATATTCTTATCTTTCAGGATCTTTTCCCTAGGATTAATCCCCTCTTCCACTTTTACCTATTGTTTAGACCAAGAAAACTGAATCATCTTTGCCAAGCTTGTTGACATCACTTTTGTCTTCCTAATATGTAACATTATCCTAGATTTTTCACTTTTATTTTATGTTCCTAATGAGATCTTTTAAATCTTCTTTATCTTAAGTGACAAAAGTGCTGCTGTCTGCATATCCTAATTGTTTTAGCATGTATAAAGCTCTATAGTATAAAGTATATATTCCTTAGCATTTTTTGTTTTGTTGCAAGAAGTCTGGAATGTCTAAACACATAATTTAATGCATCAAAACTTGACTTCTTTAAATAGGATATATTTTATAAAAAAGCAATGAGGTTAGTGACTGAGTATGCATGGTAACGAATTATTTTCCTACAGCCTATTGGATATTTATTTTGCATAGAAACTATTAATATCTCTAGTATGGAATATGTGGGGCATTTATGATAAATAATACCAAAGCCAAACATGTACATAAACGTTGATACTGGGGCACTCTTTGCTTTAAAATATGCTGATCAGATGCTTCAGCTCACTTTGGCATGTACATATAGTAGGCACACTGTAGTAGATTTTCATCTGCAGCCACTTAGAAATAATGTCCTGTAGTTCACATTTCATTAAAAGTATAGTATCAGTCTTTATCTGAGTGGGAATATCTGTGAAACTGATGGATTTCCACTCCATATAGCTAGAGTCTACTACTGCAGCAATTTTGAGAGGTTAGTCTTTTATAACAAAAACAACACAAGAATCCTCTGAGAGTTAAAAGAAACTAATAAAATAAAAATGCGAATTAGTTCGACACACAGTTGCTTGCCACCAATAAAAATGAAATAAGTCGGGTTTTGAGGGGGAAAACACTATTAACCCGATTTGGTTCAGTAACCTATACATTTCTATTTAAAAGAAAAATAGCAGGTGACCTGCATGTGCCCTTAACTGTCTGTTACCTGCTGGCCTTGCTTGCGATACTGTAATCATGTCCTTTTGTCAAACACGGATAGTAGCAAGAAGGAAGCATATATCATTCAAAAAAAGTCCTTTCAGACAGAGGCAGAAACCAAAGTTTCCCATGAAGAGAGAATTTCACGTTATCTATAATTGTCCCCTAGACTCATGTGAGTTCTGTGTCAGCTATGGAACATGCTGGCACTGGTTGAAATGGCTCTGGAAAGTAAAACTAGCTAGCAACTGCTGGATAGCATTGCATTAGGCCTCAAGCACACAAACAAGGCTATTTTGCACATCTGTTCAAACATCTGCTATTGCTTGTTTTAAGTTTTTTTTTTAAGAAAATTGCTGGGTATTTATTTATTTCTCTTTTCCCCTCTACTTTTCTTTCTTTTTTTCATGGTAAGTTTTTATTTTTATAATATACGAGAAAAATAGTAACAACAGTTCTTCATTTCTGACCTTTCCATTTTAATAACACAAATTATTTAACCTTTACTTTAAAAGCCATAAATGGGTCAATTTAATGAGATTTCCAGGAAAGAACAAGTATAATGCCTTGCAATATGTTTGCATATTGTAACCTTTCACTGAGAATTTCAGGCTGTGGTCATAAGCACAACCATTACCTGAACTTGGGATACAGTTAAAGGATATCTAAATAAGATCCACGTAACACCTTCACTGCAGGGTGGGACGGTGAGAGAGCCTTCATACACCCAATAGTCTCTTAGCAGTGGATCTGAAATTGAACGGATACCTTGGTTTGAAAACAATAATGTAAATACAGTTGAAGAAATGAAATCATCAAACTTTTTCTGTATGCAATCTACAGCTGTCAAACAGAGTCCCTAGAAAGTATCTCATAAAAGGCAACTTGCCGAATTTTATCCCTAGATCATTTTACAGCACAGGGAGGTTTGTGTAGACTAATTTTCTAGCAGAATGAAATAGAAAACGTGGTGATATGCTTCTCAGGATAGTTTTATAAAAGCAATCCTTTCCATTAGAAACAATTCAAATTGAAAGCATGGCAACCACAATGGTGGTTGCTACTGTAGAAATTAGAAAATTAAAAAAGTGTAAAATCAGATGAAAACTGGGGTTGAAATTTGTCAGCCAATTTTACCATCTATCCTGTAGCTCTAGGTAAAAAAAATGTTATTTAAATCCAAAGGAACATCTAATAGTCAGACATTAGGTATTGTTCAATATTATTATTAAGATTTAATCTTCAATTTGATTCAGTCTGGGGCTGGTAAAAACTTAACAGTTCAAAACAGTGGTGGGATTCAAATATATGAACAACTGGTTCTCTGTGTGGATGTTACTTCTGAAAGTCCATTCTGAGCCTGGGCAACAAAAAAGTAGCTACCAGTTCTGCCAAAGTGGTACGAATCAGCTGAATCCCACCACTGGTTCAAATCCTAACCAAAGACCTAAGAACTGTTAAGGTAATTTTTGAGCATATAGATATTTTTTGCAAAGTCAGAATATTCAGGTCTAATAGCCCTTTGGGTATTGCTCCAAGGGCTCCTATTATATCAGTACAACCATTGATTTCTTCTTCCACAATCGCTCAACTGCAATTTGCAAATCACAATATTTCATTATTTTTTCTAGCTGTTTCTCTTCAATTCATGCATCACGTGGTATTGCAAAAAAAAATAAGTTTTATTTCTTTTCCACAATAGTGATGTCAGGAGTGTTGTGGGCCAGAATTTGTTTGGATCCAAAAGTTCCACAGGATCTTGACCTATTCATTTTCAAGAACTTTGTCAAGTTGGTATTCCCAGTGATTTTTACTGCATTCAGACCAAACTTCTGGCAAAGTTTCCAATGTATATTTTTTGGCAACTAGATCATGACATTGTAGATAATCAGTCTGTGAAATTTTGCTGCAGCCACTGATAAGATGATCCATTATTTCATCTTTCTCATTGCATAAGCAACATTTGCTCTTATTACGTACGTGTTGAATTTTTGCTTTTATGGAATTATTCTGCAACTCTTGTTCTTTAGCAGCCAAAATGAAGCCTTCAATTTCTTTCTTCAGTACTTCTAATTTCAACCAGCTCCACTTTGTATCTGCCTTTCCTTCACTGTCCTTCAGGTATTGACTGTGCATAGGCTTCTTTTTCCAGTTAGAAACTCAATGCTCAATTGTTTCCTTTCAATATTCTGTTTTCAATCTCATTATTTTGAAGAGGTTTCCTTTGTTCACCTCTCTTAGCGCTATTACCGTATATTCCGGCGTATAAGATGACTGGGCATATAAGATGACCCCTCAACTTTTGAGAAGATTTTCAGGGTTTAGAAAGTCATCTTATATGCCGGAAAATATGGTACAATATTGAATTTCTGTTTATAGATGAGCACAATGGGAGCTCCATTCCTTTGCTGCTAGAAAGCGAGTGTTGCCCACCACTGCTTCCCTAATGCTTCCTGAACTCAGCTGGTATTTTTTTCCCCATATATTTTATTGATTTTTTAAAAACATAAATCACTTAATAGTTGGTAAACAGTGTGTTTGCTGGGTTTACATTTGTAAAGAAAAATCATTAACAATTGGTTTCTATAATCTATAATCCACATAGTACATTTAGTTGATTTCCCCTTTTCCCCAAAATCTCTTCTTTGCAAACCTTGAAATAATATAGTTCTTATTATTTTGATAAAATATATTTAATCTTTAAATATTCCATTTAATGTGCCTAGCCATCTAATCCTTTAGGTCTTATTTTTTTCTTTTTTATACATTATAATTTCCCTAAATTCAGACACATTTAATTATCTAAAACATTCCCTTCATCTAGGCCATTTCAGCAGTATTATATTACTTATATCAAGAAATAAAATAAAAGGGGGGGGGGAAGCACACAGTATTATTTAAGGAATTAATCTCTCTTAGAATGACATATGTATTCAGAATCTTTTCTGTTTCTTTAACCATATTCAAACAAATGTTTCTTTTTTAAATATTCTCTCTGGTAGATCCCATCCTCTATTTTTTTAATTTTCACTTTGATCTTTTTCCTTTGACCAGTATCTTTCTTAATCAATTGATTTGCTGAATCAAAAAGTTTTTCCATATATTCATGACGGCTGCTATAGGTATAAGAAGTAAATCAAATGTTTCTTTTTTTTGTAGATGTAATGTCCTTAATTTATATAGCTTACTGTTTTCTACTATTTAATTGCTTTTCCTGAAAAAGAATAAAGTGATGGGCGATGTAGAAAAATGGGATTTTTGAATGCTTTGTCCTGCTGGCTGTGGAATTCTGGGAGTTGAAGTCCACATGCCTTAAAATTGTCAAAATTGAGAAACACTGTTAGTGCTTATTTCTGTAAAAAAAAAAAAAATAGGGCTGGCCACTAGGGGGCAGATTGGTTTTAAATTCAGAGAACAGCTACCTGGTGTATAAGACAACCCCGGACTTTTGAGAAAATTTTCAGGGTTTAGAAGGTCGTCTTATACGCCGGAAAATACAGTACTGTTGTTGTAGTTGTTATTGCTGAAAACTTGTATAATAGCCAAAGTTCATGAAATGTTTGCATTCTTTTCTAAAATGCTATGAAATTCCTAGAAATAATATCAAAATCTAACAGTATTTTATCATCTCTCAATATTTCATCACACATGCATGTATATCAGTTAGTTAAAGTCCAAAAGAACCAAATTGGATCCAGAGTTATCTAGAGGTTGATGGAATATATTGACTTTATCAAATTTAATTCCTTTGTGACCCTTTATTTTATCTCAGTTGAATTTGCTTAGAATTCTATCCATTCTATCTATAATTGCATCTATTATAGTTATAGATTTCTCAGATCAAGTGAATATACATTTAATGAATGGCAACTGGTAAAATATCAAAAATGTATTTTGTCCTTGGAAATGAAGAAAGGAGTCACTCAAGAATACTACCTGTCAAGGTATTAGATGACTAATAAGAAACTTTTTGTTTTAATTATGTGCTTCTTTTATGTCTTTTTCTCTTAATTTTAATAATGGTAAACGATGTTTATGGGTATTATGATGGTTTTATAATTTCTCCAAACAGCAAATCTTTCTATTACAACATATTTACCTATATTATTTGAGATTTTTTTTAATTAATGAAAACCTTGTATTCTCGACTATTTATTGTGTTAAGAAATATATATTTATTTAAATATCAACAATACTTAGACAAGAAGATTCCCAAGACCTCACAATGTTCTGCGAGTCAGGTTAGTTCTCTGTAAGCATGTATTTCTCACTTACGGTGCATGGAAAATATAAGTGTAAAACCCAGAACCTCTATTATATTCTAATAGATAAGAAGTCCTAGGCAAAAGGGGAAAAAAAACTCATAGATTCCAATTAGTAACTTACTGTATTTCCAATCTAAAAAAACAAGTTACAAAATATGAAATACTCTTCACAATAAATGTACTGTGTAAATTTTATATATTAAGATATAATTGCCAATTGAGATATTACCTGTCTGAATTCTATTGGTATTATATTTTAATGTAATACAAGTACAAATATTTTGAAAACTATGATTCAGTCCTATAAAAAAATAGAAATGCTACCTGGTGAGTATTCCACACATAGTGTTTTGGTCAAGACTTTTGTTATAATGGGCTATACCAGTATTCTCATCCTGATGATCTCTTAATGAAAATGAATTTACATTTCTGAGAATGTCTAGCTGAAGCTGTAGCCTCAATGGAGCTAGAGTATAACTAGGTTACAGAACACTGGAATGTATTGTGTTCAGAGCTATGTTTATTAGCAATTCAATTAAATTAAAACTGTTAGTCGAAGTTGATAACTTGATAGCAATGATTTTTTAAGATTTGATTCATGTCCCATTTGTATGCAAAGACTCTAGCTGTTAACAACTAAAAAGCAAATGTTTAGCGTGCACAAAATTTTTGTGGCACAAAAATAAGTACTCACCTGGTAATAATGTGTTAGGATTGAAGCAAGGTATTGTCTTGGAGTTGCCCTGAAAAGTTAATGGAATCCAGATTGTTTTTAGTTCTTAAGCAAAAAAAAATGTGGATTTAGGAAAAAGTGGACTGTAATTTGTGCAGTATTTCAAAAGGAAAGGAAGGAAAATGATGTAATTATAATGGTCTCCCAGAAATCAATCTTAGTTTACCTCTCATAATCTGTTGTGTAGGCTTGTAGCAGATAAGATCAGTTTGACTTTCATTGGCATTGATAAATGATGATGCAAGCACCCATGCCAAGTCAACTCTATACAAAAGTGATCTATACATGGGATGAATGGGTGAATGCCACCCAGAAATATGAATATTTTTTAAAAGAAATGTTCAAAATGTCACATCATTTTTCTGGATGGACTTGGTTGCCCTTAAGAGTTCTATCAATCTCTGAAAATATCAAAGTGATTGGAATTTGTTATACTCTTAATTGAAAATGATGACTTAATCTAGAGAGGACTATTTGAATACTAGAAATGTGGAACCTTCAACACATAGAATTAAATGTTTCACATAATCCCAATTCCAGCAACATGGAAACCAATATAGGTTACAAAGCATCTGGAAAAGTTGCCCCACTGTAAATGTTTACTGCAGGTTCATATCTGAAAGTCCTACACAAGGCTACAGTGGATGGTATCCTTCTGGACTGTCTGGAGGTGTTGATCTTTAGAGTCACTATTTTGCAATCCTGTTCCTTTCTCTCAAGCCGAGCTCCAAAGGTATGTTGATACTGAGGTATGGTGAGCCATCTGATTTCATTTTGCCTTCCTTCTGTTCAATACTTTTTGGGGGGAGATGGAGGGTCATTCAGGTTTTTGGACTGGGTGTCATCAGTAAGCCTATAGAATATTAGAATCCAAATCCAACAATGCTAGTACCATTTATAATTGCCTAAGTTCAATAATCACTAGAGGACACAGAACAAATTAAAGTTAAATCCAGATAAGATAGAAGCGTTCTTAGTAAACTGGCTAGAGAATTGTAGGCCAGCTTATTTTTGGATGAGGTTTTCCTACAACTGTAAAAGCAGATCTCTAATTTGGAGTGCTTATAGATTTTTAGCTGTTTTGTTTGTTTGTTTGACTGATTGATTCCTATAGCTGCCCATCTCAGGAAGCAACTCTGGGCAGCTCACAATTCAGAAACATATATTACAATTAAAATCTTAAAAACAGTTTAAAATATTAAAAACTGTGAAAACCATTAAAACACTTAAAAAAACATCAAAACATCTAAAGTTGTTCATGGCTTCTGAAATAGAAGCATATTTGTGAATCAAGCATAGGTTCACATTGGCTGTCAAATTAAAGTTTACCTTTTGGCTACATCTTGTTTTGATTATAAAGATGTTCTCTTTTTTGCTAATGAATGTTAATGTCAAATGTGATTTTTAATATAGAATTGCAATTGATATTTCAATATTTTGGATATTTAGTTGAGGAGAAAAGAGGAGTATAAGTATATTACATAAATGACTACTATATATTCCATTTCTCCAGAAATTGAGATCATATTAAGTACCTGATCCCCAATTATATAATGAAGATACTTCACCTTATACTGAATGTCTTGCAGAATCTCAGTCACAGCCTTTAGGCCTGAATGTTCCTTTCCTATCTGAAATAAAACCAACAATAAATAAATGCTGAAATACAATACATATTACTCTTTTTCTGAAATAGGTTTAACAACACGTTATTCTCTAACACTTTGTTATATCAAACTAAAAAAAGTAATGTTATTCATTTTGTATAGATGTTATCATTCCTATGTGAAATTCATGACATTTATGTTGTTGTTTCTTACATTAAAAACCATCTTTCTTCTAAAGAGTTCAAGAGAACTTACCTCTGTTATAATCTCACAACAAGACTGCTATGTGACAGGTTGCAAGAAAGTAACTAGCTAGACTTATCCAGAGTACTTTACAGTGCACTTGGATTTAAACTTGGATCTTCAAGGTCTTAGTCTGCACTATTCTTGCTACACTGAGTCTCATTTCCTTTCTTCTCTGTTTTGTTCTTTCCTAACTTAACTTACATATGTTATGAAAGGACAAACAGAGAAAAAAGGAAATAAAACTCAGTGGGTCTAGAACAGGGCTTTTCAACCAATGTTACAGGTACCACTTGTGGTACATTGGCACCTGGCAGGTGGTACACGACCATCCTAGAAAAATGGTAGTGGGGGAGGGAAATGATCTGAACTGGTGGCAGCAACGCACAAGCCTGAGCGAGAGATGGCTGGAGCTGCAGGGCTGTCAGTGCTGCTTTCCAGCTCATCGGCACTTTTTCGGGGCTGTCAGGGCTTAGGGGAAGTGCCAGGATCAGCGCCAGGTTCCAGCTGGAGTTCAATGCTGATCCTGGTGCTTCTGCTGAGCCCAGAAGAAGCGCCGATCAGCTGGAATGTTGCAGCATCTCCAGGGTCTTGTGATTTACATTCAGATGCTTGGCAACTGATTCATATTTATGACAGTCAGTGTCCAAGGGTCATGTGATGTGACCAAAACCTGCTGCAACCACCCAGCAGACGGGGGAGTAAAAACCAAACATCCCCCTACCCCACCTCTGTTGCCAATCCTCAACAGAAATACGCACAACAATGAAAACCTCTGACAGGAGGAAGAGCACGGCGGGGTGGACAGGTAGGTGTCTTGCTCAGCTGTGGCTTGGGGGGGCACTTTTTTCAGTGCCATTGTAACTTCGAACAGTCACTAAGTGAACTGTTGTAAGTCGAGGACTGCCTGTACTTTATCACTTTTTTCCTTTTCGAGGGGGGGTCATCAAGTTTTTGACACCGTGCTAGGCAACTGGTGGTATTCGGATGTCGTCATATCCTAAAAGTGGTACAGTGGGTGAAAAGGTTGAAAAGGCCTGGTCTAGAAGGCTAAGAAAGAGTAATTTAATTATCCAAGAACACCTTGCATAATTCTTTACTGAGTAATGAATGAACTGCCATGGACTTCTTACCTATAATGCAATACAGGCTATAAAGTAACTGCATAATTAGCAGTTGAAGGCCAGATTCCAAACAGATATTGTATATATCTGAATTCTATACAGGTAGTTAATCATGATTATTACAGTTTTTTAATCCCACCTTTTTACATAAATGTATATAAAATGTATGTCACGTGTATATTTATGTTATTCTACAATATATTAATTGCAAGAATGTACATGTGTGTTTATTAAGAAAAGACTATCCCACACTGAGTTTGAACGGATTAAAAAAAATCAGCTGGTTTAATTAATCCTTCTATTACTCCAGATCTATGGTCCTTTGTTAGTGTGCCAGACTTGACAAACTTTGAATGAATTGAATGAAATTGAATGAACAAATAAATGTTGGAGGGACATAGAGAATATAAGATTCCAAGAATGAGTTAGAGGGAATGCTAATAACTCATGTTCAACTTCGCTAATGTGAGACACCAAGAAGGGAAAAAGAACGAGTAAAAGCTTTAATATGAATGGTACTTAAAGAAGCAAAAATGAAAATTAATAAATAACTATATGCTATTAAGACCCACAATGCTTGTGGCATGCTTGTCTTCCTGCTTGAAAATAGTATTTGTAGCAAAAGCAAGTTCATAGCAGTCCTTGAAGAAAAACCAATAGTTTAGGATAGCAAATGGCCATATTTTGAAAGATAGATAGATAGATAGATAGATAGATAGATAGATAGATAGATAGATAGACAGACAGACAGACAGACAGACAGACAGACAACCTTTATTGTCATTTTTACTGTGGGCACAATGGCACACATTAAAAATGAAATTTAATTGCTTGCTAAGTGTACACATACACAATACACATTTAAACGTACTATATGCAACATATGTATAGACCTACACCCTTACATATAAGTAATATAAATATTAATTACTGTCTATCTTGAATACATAATGGAAGGAGAAAGCTTTAGAGTTCACAAGGTTAATACTGTATGGAACAAAATTTGACTGAATCTGAATGTTCTGCTTCGGATACCACGAAGGTAACAAAGAAAACAGGTAGTGGACAGCAATTCATTCATGAGAAAGACACTTGCATTCTGAGTAAAGTCACAATATGAAAATGATAGATACTGGAGAGGCCAATAAATAGAAACTATTGATCAACACTGTTTTTATTAATCAGCATAAAATCTAATTGGGCTGTTTTGACTCAAACCTTGGAAAAAAGCTATTCTAATATCTACAACTCTTAAATATATCACAGACATAGACAACTCCATATGCTCATGCAGAACTCTGGCAGCTATGACTGTGAATTATCATTTGCTTGAAGGGCTATGCAGATCCTCATTAAAATATACAGCGCCATAAGAGGAGAAAGGAGGGGTCTTGAAGTTGCTTGTTAATAATTGGCACCTGGGCAGCAGACTGAATAGGCATATCCTTTAGCTGATGGAAGATTTCTTTAAAAATCCACATATCGAAGAGTACTTAAAATTTCCTCAACACCATTAAAAAAACTGTTCCATCTGAACAAATTTTAATGATGTGGAGGAGGCCATGGGAAAATGGGAATTGTTTTGTTCTACCAGCAGAGAGCATCCCTGCTGATGCAAACACAGTTCTGCTGCATCAATTCATATAAATAAAATGAGATACAAAATCACTGTGCTCTTTTATCTGTTGTTGCTGTCAATGGAAGTGATAGTACATTTCCTCTATTTTGGAGCTGTGCAAGTGGTCTTTATGGGAATTCCTGACTTAACATATTGACAGAAGTGGAAATACAGTATGTACCTCATCCTAGATAGTCAATTGTTATTTGTACCTAGATGCTTGTAATTATATAACATGTACTTTATAAGTGTATGTGTTTTCCATGAAATGAATTTGGCATCCACCCAATTGGTTCTTAATCATAGGACATACAGCACTTAAGGATCAGGTGAAGAGATATTTTCAAAATACCTACTTTCCTGCCAAAAAAAGAGTACATTGAATCGAGAATGAGATGGAAAATAAGTTAAAGAGATTTATTTAACAATTTAATTTAACTTTCTGATTAATTCCAAGATTAGATCTGAAGAAACTGGATAACAGCTTCCAAAGCAATTATAAAGTCCTTTAGGAGACCAAGTTTTCATTATTTTTAGCAATCTTCTCTGCACTAGAGCCATACATCTTTCCAATCAAACACCAAAGTCTGCAAGGAATTTAAGACGAGAAATAGAAGTCTACAAAAAAAACATTCAAATATGGTTCATGAAGAAACATTTCTATTTGTCATTCACTATTCTACTGTAGGTAGTCCTTGACTTACAACCACTTACAGCCAGCAACGGATGGAAACTAACCAAAAGAGAGAAGCAACCTAGAACTAAGGAAAAATTTCCTGATAGAACAATTAATCAGTGGAACAACCTGCCCCCAGAAATTGTGAATGCTCCAACACTGGAAGTTTTTAAGAAGAGATTGGACCGCCATTTGTCTGAAATAGTATAGGGTTTCCTGCCTGAACAGGAGGTTGGACTAGATGACCTCCAAGGTCCCTTCCAACATTATTATTGTTGTTGTTGTTACTGTTATTGTTGTTGTTGTTATTATTATTATTATTAATTGGGACTGGAATTTTCCTCATAAGTCATTGCAGTCGTAAGTTGAGTCAGACCCATTTTTACAACAATTTTTCAGTGGGCATTAAGCAAATTGCCAGGCCATTAAGCAAATCCAACTTCCCCATGGGTTTCTTTGCCAGAAATTGACATTGAAATGTTGCAAATCATGACTACAGGGCTCTACAAACCATCATAAATATAAGTCAGTTGTCAAGCAACTGTGAATTGTGTTCACGTAGCCTTGGGGGTGGTGCAATGGTTGAAAATGCAAATATAGATCATAAGTTACTTTTTCCAAGGCATCATAGCTTTGAACCATAATTAAATGAATATCCTTAAGTCAAGGACTACCAGTATCCTATTACTTGGCAGTTCACAGCAGTTCCAGACATGACATGGTCCTTGATCTTTCACTCTTCCAGATTTCTTCTACTATATCTCTCTTCTAAACTGGGAAGCAACACAGAGCCCAAAAACTACTTTAAGAAACCTTTTTGGGGTCCAAGAGAGCCTCCATAATGAAACTGCTGCTGAAAAATGTTACTTTAATTTTTTGGAAGAAGAAACAAAACAGATAATTTGAAAACATAATAAACCTTTCTTGAATAAAGGTCCCAAACTACCCCAACCTCAGAAACCCCATCCTGGTTCATCTGCATAGCATCAAAAATTATTTATTATCCCACCTTTATTATTTTTTTTATAAATAACTCAAAATGGCAAACATATCTAATACTCTTTTTTCCTCCTATTTTCCCTACAACATCCTTGTGAGGTGGGTTGGGCTGACAAAGAATGAATAGCTCAAATTCACCCAAGCAGGCTTACATGCCTAAGATGGGACTACATCTCATCGTCTTCCAGTTTTTAGCCTGGTGCCTTAACTAGTCTATCCTCAATCATCAAAGCTCAAACCTGTTAGTCTCTCTCAGCCCAACTTACCTCACAAGGCTGTTCAGGAAAAATGGGAGTAAGTTATACTGTTTCTTAATTTTATTTATGTATGTAAACAACTCTGTACTTCAGGACAAAATACAGGATATAAATTTAACACAAAAATGAATGCAATATAGATTATCTAGAGCAGAGGTCCTCAACCTTTTGGGTACCAAGGACCAGTTACATAACAAGAGGTTTTTCCGCAGACCAAAGGGGGTGTGGTTTTTTGTGCTGCCCGAATCCTGCGAATGGGGCTTTACTTATTTGTGCAGCCCAGTTGCTGACATGCCGCGGCCCGATACCAATCCACGGACCGGGGGGTTGGGGACCCCTGGTCTAGAGTGGGGAAGGGTGCATTATGGCAACTGTGCATGAGCTACACAAATCAAGATGACCACAAGATGGCACCAAAGAAATACAAAAAAGTCTAACTTTTTGCTTCCACCTAGTGTTTGCGTGAGGAAAAGTAAACATTATGATTATTTCCAAAGGCCACAGTGCAAGTTACAAAATCTACCACAAAAATAAAATCATAATCTTTTCAAAAAAGAATACAGTACTTTCTACTCTACAAGACTGTGAAAACTGCCACCTTGCTCACTCCTTAAACCACTGCCAGGATTGGCTATATCTTGACTGGTACATGGTAAATATCAAATTGAAGGACACCAGGCTTAAAACACAACTGTAGGTATGCAGGCTCCCTCCACAGGGATATTGACCAAGAATCTAGTCCTCATGAGGTATTCAATATTTTTGAAACAAAGGTATAATTAGTGAGACTCAAAAGCCCTTCATATATTTGTTCCAAAAGATTGAAGAGGAATAATATGTTCAGTTCAACACAGTTCAACTTGTTAAGTTCAGTTTATTCACTTGGTAAGCACAAACTTAAATGTCATCTGCAGCTTGAATGAAGGGCTTGTATTGCCAAAAGACATAAACTATGACTTTCTTCTGAACAGACACAATGACAGTCTGCTTCTGTTTCTGTAATAGTTGTGGAACAGAGGCATTGACATCCATAGTTTCACCCATCATGGCAGTATTGCAATGAAACTGCAATTAAGAGACAATAAATGATCATGGCAAAGAGAAGGAAAATTACCTGCACAAATAAGGCAATAATGGCTATACCATTCTTCTTTCCGACTGCCTCATCAATACTGTGATACATGGTAGTGTTCCAGTGGATCAGATGGAGCTGGAGAGAGAGAGAGAGAGAGAGAGAGAGAGAGACAGACAGACAGACAGACAGACAGACAGACAGAAAGGGGAGAGAGAGAGAGATCACTTGTAGAAAAAAGACATTACATAGATAAGAAATTTCCTAGCAGTCATTGATTAGAAGTCTGTTGAAAGACTATTTTTACAAAATCATATAGAGGAGATGGGCAGCATAAAAATTTAATGAATAAATAAAAAATAAACTGTTTTTTGAAATGTTTCTACTCTGTATTTCCATATAATGACCTAAGATCATTTAACATTTTAATGAAAACAATTAAACAAAAATTGTAAAGCATTGCCAAACATCCTAAAAACAAGTGAACTACAATTAAAACAACAACCTAGTGGCTGCAGCACACTTAGCACAGTAAAGGCATTTATTAATGTTTTCACAGAGCAGTTGAGGGAAACCTGTGGAATACAAGGTAGATTTCCCAGAGGAACACATTCCAATTTGATGGGACGTCAACAAAAATGGTCTTTTCCAGGAACTACTACCTGATTCTTTCAATGAAATCAATATTTAGATAGGCTCATATAGATATATGCTGTTCTTCAGAGTTTAAAATGACTACATAAAATTAAACATTAAGAAATATTTTATTGATTTCATTTATTCAATGTTGATGCAGCGTGACCCCAACTGAGTATGGGCAGCTCATAAAAATGAAAAGCAACAAAAAACAATAAAGTGGAAATTACAAAATAAATTATAAAATAAGAAATTACAAAAATAAGCAAACAAATCTACACAATTATTACAAAAGATCACACCCAGGAAAGTCCCATCTGTCCTACTCCTGAGAGAACATCATCAGGCTGGGAGCTTGATGGGGATATTCAGAGGGGACATCATTCCAAAATGGATTGGAATGCTGCTGTTAGGTCTAATATTCCCTCACTTTATCTTCAATTATTTGTAGTTTTAACATTTGCATATACCCCTGCGGATTTTATTCTGTTAGTCATTGGTAACTATAGAGGGTGGTGCTCATCTCCATTTCAAGGCCATGAGTCAGCATTGTGTGAAGATGGCCACATTCTGCAGATATGTGGCCAGCATGACATCACAGAGCACTGTTACCTTCCCACCGAAGTAGTGCCTATTTATCTAATTGCATTTGCATGCTTTCAAACTGCTAGGTTGGTCAGATCTGGGGCAAGAACGGCAGCTCACCCTATCGTGTGGTGGTTGGGTCTCAAACTTGGGCTATCAGGTTTCCAACTGACAAGCCTAGCCTCTTAACCGCTAAGCCAACACACTGACCCATCTGCTAACAGATGCATTTAAAAACCTCCTACGATAATTTGCAAGTCAAGTTAGCATAGATAATAAAGTAATAATATTAAAAGAATTTTAATCAAACGCATATTCTAAAAGCAAAAATGAACTGCAAAATTCAGCCTTTCAGAATGAGATGTTTATTTCAAAAATCTTCACTACCATCTAGCTGGATATTTGACAATGAACATTATTAGGTCATATTCATTGTACAATTTCTTATAGCATCAATATATTTTTAGAAATAAAAGAGAAATATTCATATTACACAATATAAAATGTGACAGAAGGTGCTTATCACTCAGCTTGGCATTCAGAATGTGTTAATGTGTTTGGTGAATTTAAAGAATCAAAATATATTGTTTGACTTTGTTCTTTTCAATTATTTGTCCATTTTAAAACTATGAATATTTTCCTTTTCTGAATGCTAAATGATTCATTTAAAAACCAAATCATGTGTTGACATTTCAGTCTCCATTTCTTTTTAGTATTATGCTAGTTTAAAAAAAAACCCATAATAATCATGTCTTAAGCATACTTTTTTTATTAGATTAGCATTTCTCATTATCCTCACTAGAGGTCACTCGTGCTTTCTGATGACTATCACATTAAATAAAAAAGGAGAACAAAACAAAGAAAAAGTTATTTCTTTCGTTTGATTAAAGACTGATCTACAGAAAGAAAATCCTTGATTAAAGAGTTAAGGGTCTAGACACAAATACTATGAAAACAATGCTCTCTATGTGACTCCAACAGTTATCTTTTTAATGTCAACATATACTTTACTGCAAAGAAAGTTGTAACAATGCTATGAAAGACAATAGTCAAGTTTACACGGGTGATTTTATATATGTGAGTGGATAAAGCCATGGAGTTAGTTATTATCAAATTCACAGAGATAAATTGCTGCAAAGGATCTTTTTCTCTCTCAAATAGAAAAATACTGCTTGTAAAGAATTTTAAAGGATTAAAAGGAAAAGTGAAGTAAAAACCTCATTTTTAATAATAGGGAAGCGTCATGTATTTATTTTAAAAAGAGCTATTTTTGTCAAATTGAGACAAGAATTACAATGTATTTTTAAAACAAAATACATATTTTTTTTCAAATTCAGTTTGTGACTGATGGTACCCGATCACCCCCAAGTATACTTTACTAGATTCATTATCCTAAAAAAACATGATGAATGTATGTTTTTCCAGTAAATTTTTGGAAACTTACTCCTCAAAACAAGAAACTTCCAGGAAAAAGAATAAGTACTTTTTGGCTGCAGCCCATGTTCTAACTGAGTCATGGACTACAGTAGATTTATATTGGTGAGAAAAGAACAAAAAAGGCCACTCTGATTACTTCTTAAAGAAAAAAACACAACCTGGTGAGCTTACCTGCTGAACTTATAAAAACATTTCCACCCTCACTCTATTCAAACCTTTGGCTTTTCTATTTTAAATCAGAAACATTTTGAGGCAGTGGCTTGATTCACGTATCATAGAAAGCCATAATGGGGCCTGTTTTGATTGGTTATGTATGAACTCAGCCACTTTCACTTAATAGTATGAACCCAGGCACAAGAAAAGTCATTTGGTGTTTTTAAAATGTTCTATTTCGATAGAAGTCAAAGATCCCATACTCACTTAATCAAAAGTGCTGTATGATGACTAGTTCAGTAGCCCAAGGGCTGCAGAACTGAACCTTTCAGACATTTATATAGTTTTTAATCCCGATCAGGCATGAAGCTGTGCTTTCTTCTCGATCTAGAATTACCTCGGGATATGTGATGAGTCCAGGAATCAACATAGTCTTGTATATTTTCAACAGCTGTTGGTGCCAAGTTACATCCTGGGAAGGATTTGCAATACCTGGCCAAGATTCAAGAAGTTGCTTCCTTAATTCTGGCAATTGCTTCCTGCTGTGTGTGGTGTTTGAGCACTTCCTATAGTTCTGGATCATAGGTGAGCCAGCATCCTCTTTTCTCCTCCATCATAGCAGTCTAGTTTGTTGTCCCTTCATATGTTACTGCCACTGAAAGGAGCATTATGCAATGCCACATTCTTTAGGGATAGAGCTCACTGTCAAAAGATTCATGGCTTTCTCATGTTATTCTTTCCTCTAAGTCAGACATGCCAAAATCGTGATGTCACGGGACGTCGTGCAATGTATCAGGACGGTTTTGCCATTGCCAGCAATGGGGTGGGCACGGCTTCTGGATGACGCATCTGGCCTGAGGGCCGACAGTTTGACACCCCTGCTCTAAGTATTCTTGTAAACTACAGAACATAATGAGGACCATTATTAAACTAGCAATGGTTGCATTGTCAATTGTGATGATTGTCAGATGGTTTGTATGTTAGACTTTGGCCTGGGAGATCTTAGTTCAAATACCCACTTATATATAAAACCCATTAGATCAGGGGTCCCCAATCCCTGGTCCGTGGACCAATACCAGCAATCGGTCCGCACAAACAAGCAAAGCCCCATCCACAGGATGCAGGCAGCACACAAAACCATGCACATTCCAGTCCTCAGAAAAATTTCTCTCCACGGAACCAGTCCCTGGTGCCCACAAGGTTGGTGACCTCTGCATTAGGTAACCTTGGATTAGAATTCAGCCAAGCCTAACATATAGGGTTTCTATGAAGTTATAAAGTATCTTGAGCAACTCTGAAAAAAAGATTTAATATGATCAAGATACCCTTGACTATGTCTCCCCTAAACCCCACACTGTAGTAAAATATTGTGGCTTTGCTTCCAGAAAAAGTTCCTAATTGCCGAAGTGATTCTTGCATCCTATAGAACTATTCCAATTCACATCTCTGTTTTAAATCCAACTTAGTTCCAGTTTGAACTCTCACATAAGGAATCAACAGATGAACATCTATCTGAATTGCATGACCAGCAGGCCCTGGATGAAATGGATTATTGCAACCCCTTTCAGTCAGAATTCAGACCTGGGCATGGGATGGAAACAGAATTGGTCACTTTGAGATGATTTCTGGTTGATAGTTTATCTATCTTTTCTCTCCTTCAGCTTTCAGCGGCCTCTGATGGCATCAAGCATGATATCCTTTCTGGATCAATTCTGTGGGATGGGAGTCAGTAGCACAGTATTGGGCTGGTTTTCTTCCTTCCTATTTGAGCAGTCCAGTTGGTGTTGACCAGGAGTGAGGTCCCACCTACAATTCCTATCATGTGGGATGCTGCAAAGTTCAGTAATCTCTCTGCTCCTATTTTATCATCTACATGAAGTTAATGAATAACGTCATTTTTTGCCATGGGATGAGTTATCACACTGATAATACTGAATTATACATTTCCATTCCTGGTGAACTAAGCAATGATACTAATGTCTTGTTCCTGAAGGCTGCAGGGGTCTGAATGGGCTTTAAGTGAACCTCGACAAGACTGAGTGGCTTTGGCTTTGGGGGCTTTTTTACCTGAGATTTTACCACCTTTGGCATGGATAGGGTTGCACTATTTCAGACAGACCCCATGTGCAATCTAGGGGCCTTTCTAAACTCAGCTCCTGCAAGAGGAACAAGTGACAGTCTTGGTTAGGAGGGCCTTTGCACAGCTTTGTGTTGCATGCCAGTTGCACTCTTTCCTGGACTACAATGCTCTGCTCATAGTCATTCATTCCAACTGGATTGCTATAATGTGCTCTATGTGGAGCTGCCCTTGAAAAGCATCTGGAAGC